ATGGGTCGAGCTGGGAGTTCTGCCAGAGAAATGCACACGCAACTGGAGCCCAAGTCTCAAAAAATTCCCTCTGGTATTTTTTCCTTCCCTTCCCCTTCTCTCTTTCTCTTTTTTTTTCCCCTTTTCTAAGTTTCTGTGTATAGATTGTTTGAGGTTACATGGGTTATTTCTCCTGGTGGTTACTGTTTTGCAATATTATACCAGCATGTGTAACCCTAATATTTTAAACCCTATGACTCTCCCTAAAATGTTTCATAATAAATTTGCAACTTCAGCTTCTGAAGGTTTTTCTGGTGCCTTTTAGTGGCTGTGTACCTGCAACATGGGAAACAAACGTAATGAGAAATTGGGGATAAAAATTCTTTACTGGGACCATTTTAAGTTCCTGGGGTAGGAATAAGCTCAGAATTACAGTCTGGGCTGTTAAATAATTTGGAGAAGCTTATTGCTGTGTTGGGGAGATGACTGACCTTTTTGGAACAACTGGCATTTACGAACTTTGCAAACGCGATGGAAAGCTCCCAGTGTCTCTAACTTGGATACAAGGAGATCTCCCAGCCTAAAGCTCATGTGGGATACTCGATCCCGGCTGTGTGTTATCCTCCCGCCATCCCCCGCTTCCCCTGGAGCCCCTTGGTGCCTTTCATGGGAGCGTAGCTCGCGGCGATCCGACTCTCTTTCTCGAGCTTCCCGGCGCGCTCCCGGCGCTTCCCAGTGCCCGGGCGAGCAGGCGGGAGTGCGGGCGGCATGTGCGAGCAGCTCCCGCAGCCGCCGGAGCGACGGAGGGAGGGAGGAAGGGAGGGAGGGAGGGAGCACGGCGCAGCGCGGGATTGACTGCAGGAGCGAGCGCGGGGCTTGGGGCCGGGAATGACGCACGCCGAGCTGGATCAGAAACGCGGAAGAATTAGGAGCCTCTAAGTGTCGACCGGCCGCTGTTTAAAGAGCACCGCAGCCGAGCGGCGAGGCTGTTGCGCGTGTGGCGTGGGTAAGATATGCATCTTTCTTCTACTTTTCTCTTTCTCTCGCTCTCTCTTTCTCTGTCCGCCGACATGCAAGGCGAGAGCCTTGCGGCAGGGATCAAGAGAGAAGGATTTTAGCGGAGCTTTGCGGATTTTTTTTTTTTTTCCCCTCTTGTTGATTAATTTTTTATTTTTTCATTTTGTTCCAGACAAAGCCTAGAACGATTGTGTTGTGGAGAGCTCAGCCGCGTACCCCTGCCGCCCCGGGTGCCTGCGTGTGTGCGCGCGCTGCCAGCACGCGCGTACACGCTCCTTGTTTTTATTTTATTTTTTTTTTCCGGGGGTAAGCCAGAGTGCGAGTCTGCTTCAGCTGGGCTGCAGATAGGGGACCCGGACTCTGTATCCGTCTCCACGGCACTGCCGGGTTCCTGCTGCTTTGCAACTCGGCTCTCTGCTGATGGCAGTCGATAATTGGTAGACACAGTCTGCGGTCTGAGCCACAGCATTTTGTCTAGCACCTGGGCCGGGCCCTGCTGATACACCGGAGAGAGAGAGGGAGAGAAAGACAGACAGACAGACAGACACAGACAGGCAGACAGACAGACGGGGGGCTGGCTGCAGCCGGTAGCTCCGAGCGAGCGGCCGCCGGACGCGAGTGCCCCACGGCGCCGCAGGCTGCCCGGTGATGCGGCGCCCGCTCGGGGGGTCCACGGAGAGGCTCGAATCCCTTTTCCAGAGGACACGATTATGTCCAGTGAGCAGCTTAACAGTACAGCGGTGAAGGATGCACGGTTAAAAGACCTGTTATTGGAAAGAGGTACTCCCATTTTATTTATTTCGTGTTTTTGCATGGCTAGGATTACTGTGAGCTTAGTCCCTGGGTCACGTCAGAGCGAAGCAAAGGGGAATCCCACTCATAGCACCTCTGGCTCGGCTTAGGGACTTGTGTGATCGGAGCCCCTGGGCCTCCAGGAGGGCTTTACTGCCCAGGAGAGAGAGTTTGTTTTCAAAGGGTAACGTAGGGTGACAACCCAGACCTTTGCACTTGTGTGACTACTGTGCTTATTGCTAGGATAAGAAATTATTTCTTCTTTTCCTATTTTTCTGCGAAGGTGTTTTCATGAAATATGTAACTGCTCTGTTGTGCCTGTATGAGGGAAAATCTGGGGGGGAGAAACGCACTATAAATTTTATTTCTTTCATGTGAAGAAGTATATATGTGTGTGTGTGTGTGTGTGTGTGTGAGGGAGAGACACGGGGAGGTAAAAGTCTGTCTTGTCTTTCTTCACATTCTTCCCCACTTAATTGATGGGGGGAGGAAAAATCCATATTAAGGAACAGGCGTCTAGGGAGCAGAGCGCCTGGGTCCGGGGCTGCTCGCGCCACAGACACGTGCTGCAGACTTGGTCGGGGCAGGAGGGACCGCGGTGACTAAGTGTGTGTCAGAGCCCTCCGCGCTGCCTCGAGCGGTGTCGGTAACGAGAGACGGCTCCTGTTCCCGTCTTTTTCCCTTTTCTTTTTGCCTATTAATAACCCGGTGCTCAGGAGGAGGACTAGTCAGGAGCAAGGAAACGTCAGACATCTCCCCCCACCTTCCCTTCTTCCTCCTCTTTCCAGTGAGAAAATCCTCTGGAACATCCGTGGGGAGTTTTGTTACATCCTAGTGTTTGCAGGATAAAGTGCCTGCGCCCTTGGGTGCTGTGATTCTGTGGCATGGCCGCCTTTTGGTCGTTTATTTTCCAGTCATTATCAGTCATCCCATGAGGGATATGCTCCCAGTCCTGATCATTTATTTGTAGAGCAGAGGAACTGTCCCCTGCCCCTGAAATGCTGGGGCCTTGATAAATTTAGAAGACTCTGCCCTTGGCAGATATAGAAGCAACATGTCATTCCAGTGATCGTAGCATTCTAGGAAAGCCTAAATCAACATTGCTTGTTTTGCATGTCGCCCTTTAGCAACAGTCTCTCAATTTCCAGTCATAAAATATTACATGATGTGGAAAAAAAAAAGTTTAGGGTAAAGAAACCCTTTGATACTTGGTATTCACAGAATCTGAATTGCAGCATTTGTTTGCAGTATTTGTTGTCTGTGTCGAGTTTGTATTCTGCACTTTTGACCCAAGAAAAAAAGCTGGCTGTATGCTTAAACATGTTTTTCTTTGTTTGTTTTGTCTTGTTCTGTTTTTTTTATTATTTTTTTAAATTAATTTCTTTGCCTGCTGCTTTTGGATCTTTCAGTGCTGACATCATTAGCTTCCAGTGCCTCAGGACAAAAAATGGCACATCGGCTGCTGCATATGGGATTGATAGCAAAAGCAGAGGGAGGCTGCAAAACACTGACTAATGAAATTATTCATAAGTGTTGACGGGGTTGCTAATGAATGGATGGTGCTTACCAGGAAAGAGAAATTAAATGGTAGACATATTGTTGCATTGTTCCAGGCCCCTTTAATCATCCCGCGGCTTTGAATAAGTTCAGCTACCCATGTTGCGAGCATCACAGAGCCCCAGCGCTCAGATCTGTGTGTGCTCCTTCCCATTGCAAACTCGGGGCAAACTGCGAGACTTTGGGGCACGAGCTGGTGCTAAAGCCTCCGGAGCCAGCCTCCCTCTGCCCTCCCGGGTCTTGAAGACTGAGGTTATGTTTGGAAGAAACCTTCAATTGATGCCACAAGCTTGGGTTTCCCATAGTTCCACCGCAGGACGTTCTGAACTTTGAGTGTGAACTGTACTTTTCTAGCTCAGCTTCGTAGTCGTACTGTGTTTGCGTAAGCTTCAGCTACTGTTATTACACAGCAAGGAACGGATGACAGCAAATGAAAGAGATAGATAAGTGAGAAAGCTTATTCCCTCTGGTATATTTGCTTTGTCCTTTTCTTTTATATATATATATATATATTTATATATATATATTTTCCTCTTTGGCTTTTTTTAAAAGCAGGAATTTTCTACCAAGTTACTAAAGTCACATTTTGGCACCCAGAAGTAGTGTCATTTTTGAAAAGTGCCGAGAACTGAGCAACTCTCTAGCAGTTGTCTTTGAGTCTCTGACTTGTCTTTGAGCATCCCCTATGAGCAGTTTCCACAAAAATACCAGCACCTGTGTAACTCCAAAGGGCCATATCTGCTCTTAGGTTGCTCATCCCTTCTGCTCCACTGTGGCTGAAGGGCTTTGAAGGTGGCTGCAAGTGATTTGATTCTAAATACACTCTAATTTCTGTGCGATGGGCTTTTATGGCGTGCATTGTATTGTGTACCTTGCCACAAATAAGTCTTGGTGTCATTTTTAAGCAACATGTCTTGATTTAGGCAGACCAAAAGTCTTTAAAGACTTATAAATGTCTAGCAGTGTACTAAAAAGTTAGATTTTACTCCAATTGGAGGAGGGTAAGCAACTGAAGAAAACATTACCTGTAGGTACAGTAGAACAAAAGTTTGCTTTATATTTAATTTAGATAATGTGAAGTTAAAGACAAGGCTGTTCATTGCTTTCACACTAGCTAGCAGATCTAGGTTAAGGATAGGCTTCCCCATAGTCTTCTTCCTTTTTGGTAGATAGAGTCTAACAGCAGAATGTTAATCACTGAAATCCCACGTACACTGAATGTCCCGATTCCTCTCTCTGTGAGCTCTGCTTCGCAGCTTAAGGAGCTCTCTTAGCCTCTGTTGGCATTGCAGGTGGCTGTTAAAGTAGTTTTTATTTTTTGAAATGGAATTGTTATATTGTCGATAGGATCATCCTTTGTGTGCTTCTGCTGAAGAGCTTATTCCTGTGAGGGCTGCAGTGAAAGATCTTGGGGAAGTCTCGTACCTCGGACTTGCAGCCACGCAATGTGAATTTATCAGCACTGCTAAAAACTAATTTCAAAAATAATTATTTTTAGGACATAGATTTCTTTGCAAAAATTTGGAAAACGGACACCAGTAGCCATCTTAATCAGGATCAATTTTGATGAAGGAGGGAGTATTTTCAGATTATTGCTTTGATGACTGACATTCTGTGTGTGATTGACACTTTTTTTTTCTTTTTCCTTTTTGCAGCTGAACTGGAGTTTGTTCAAATCATCATCATAATTGTGGTTATAACTGTTATGGTGGTAGTTATCATCTGCTTGCTGAACCATTACAAGCTCTCGACACGCTCCTTCATCAACCGACAGAGCCAAAGCAGAAGGCAGGAAGAAACTCTGCAGACGGTGAGTACGAGCGCCCTGGTACCAGCTTCCTCCTCCTCGTGCTTTACTGGGCTGTATCAAAGGCTCCCGAGAAGCTCCCCTGTGAGCAACTGTCTGAAAAACTTCTGTTTTCTGCTACTTCCTGTAGCTAGTCCTGTAGCTAGGTTTGTTGTCGGCTGTATTTCTCAGTAGGCTAAAACGAAGCGCATGAGCTCTCCTTGTTTTGTTGTAACTTTTCTTCGTTTTGTATATGGAGATTCAATTATGAAATACTGTTTGCTGCTGCTGCAGTTTCAAGGGGAGTGGAAGAGGAGTGAATAGAAACCACCCAGGGTGTGAAGGGTTACATATATGTTGTTGTAACTTTCTGTATATTTATTAATACCATCCTGGAGTTCTACCAGTATTGCTGCTTTGTCAAACTGCAATAACAGTTTGCTGGCTTGAAAACAAGAGTCCACTAATGGGGTAAGAAAACAAAGCATTTTATCTGTCTCATTCCAGCAGCAAGAAAATATAAGGCAAATGATCTCTCCCCAAAGAAGTGGGATGGTTAAGAATTCTTGTTATAGGTCTGAAGGCCTAAGATTGAATCTGAGTCAAGTCTTGTGGCAAAGGCCATCCCCAGCCAACCCAGTTAACCTGGCTTGCGAGCCAGACATTTAGCAGTTGGGATACATTGCTGTCTTGTTTGGGTTAACCACAGAGTGTCCCTGACCTTGATATATCCCCCCAGGCTCACAGAGTGTCCCATGCTGTTGCAGGGAGATCCTTTTTGATGTGCTCTTGGGTGTCCTCAGAGCTCCTGGCCTCTTCACTGCCTGCGATGGCCTCAGGGCCATTTGTGGGGGTAGCTTTTGCGATGCAGTGATTTCCTAACAAACAGCACTACTGGGTTCACTGCTTGGTTTGACTGTCAAAAAAATCATATAATGTTCACTGGAAGGCACAGTCCTGTAATAGTTTAAACCTGGCCAAGTCCACTGTCTCACTCTCCTTTCCACCGCCGTCTTGTGTTCCCATCTCTTTGTGCTCCTTGGGGAGCTGGTGCTGATACAGAGAGAGGCTTCAGGGAGCTCATCTGGCTGCAAACTAATTGCTTTTTTGGCCCGGTTAGATTGCAGTCAGATCAGCCCGCTGACGGAGCGGAGGTGTGGGCTCGAGTGAAACCCGCTGGCACCGGCGGAGGCAGCAGCGGTGGCACCAGGATCTACCCTGACCTGCTGCCGCCAAGTTGCGCTCCTTGAAACTGCATCCTGAGAGGCAACTGTGGGAGACAGCAAGCGCAGAGCCCTTGAAGGACTTCAGGGCTTCCCTGAGGAAGGGACCGTCTCCTGGAGAGAAGGTTGACCTGTTCCCTGTCACCCCGATAATCCACAAATACTTCGTACTGATTTGGTCACAAATGAAATGAGAGTTTGTGAAACTTTGACTTTGTGGACTTCTGGGCAGGAAAAAATGGTCGGATTAATTTGTGAAATGGACACAGTAATTCAAGAACCACACTTCTGTCTGAAAAATGTTAGCTATAATTGCTACAAGTAGTGCCTAAAATGAAATAATTTGAGGTAAAGGAAACATATTTTTGTCTTTGGAAATCTTTTAAAACTGCAATAAGCTGTCAAATGCATGAAGTAACCTATTATTTTCTTTATATGGTTCATTAGTATTGTCTGTTATTAGAGTGAATTGGGCCTTTATCTTGGAAGCAAGGGAGGAAACATCATCTTTTTGTGATTAATAACATGTGATTAGACAGTGAGAACTCAGGAGCTGCTTTAGTATCCAAAACTGCTCTTAAATCATTTTTAAAACATTGACTCAATTTCATTTTGATGGCATCCATGTAAGTAATGATAATCATAGTCAAGTGAGTATTTAATGGCAATCGATGATTGGTTGGCAAGAACTGGTTACTAATTCTACTGAGGACTTTCTGGTACAGGTTTGTCATCACTGTTACGCATCTGGGTTTCTGATAAGCCAAACTGTTCTTAAAAGATTATCGTATTTATGTGAAACAGGGCTTCAGCGTTCTCTGAGATCAGATGTCACGTGTTCGATTTTTCCTTTGTCTTAGGTGTTAGAAGGAAATTCTGATGGAAACTAATTATGTGCTGTTCTCAGCACAAATAACAAAAGCAGCATAAAATGCATGAAAATCAGGAAATGAAAGCATTTGTTCTGTGAAGTGAAACTGGAAATGACCAGTCTATATCATTGTCCAAACCTGAGTGAATTGTACAAAATAAAGAGGTAGCGTGCATAGTAAAATACAGGATAGATTATACATTTCTAAAATACATTCACATTTTAACTGGGCTGGGTTGTTGGGTGTGTGAATGCTGTCGATAACTGGGATGCTTCCAAGAGAGCAGGGTTTTTATGGTATCTAGATTCTGAAAACAGATTGAAAGGTTTATTAACTACTAGTGTCTAATGAAAATTATGTCGTGACTCAGGCCTTTTGTTGTTTGAGAAGTGGTGAATGAAAATAGAGGAAGTTAGCAATACTGCTTGCAAAACAAAGTAGATGAACTGGCTGTTGGCCAATTCCTGTAGCTAACTCTGAAGTGAAACCCCCTTCATGTGAGCTGCAAAGGTGTATCCAGAGACACAACCTGGCTTCCTTGACTGAGTGGGCCATTTCTTCCACGCATGCATTATGTTCAGTTCTGTTCCTTTTTCTCAAGTTGGTCCTGTTTCTAGATAATCATGTGTTCCAACAGCTGAACTTTAGCTGAATTGTGCAGATTTCTGGTGCCCTAAAGACCCAGCATTCAACAGCGGATCTTTTTTATTCTGACTCTTTCAGAAAGTGTAATGGAAGGGGATGAGTGAGTTCACCTTTATAACCAACTTCACATCTTTAAAATTCATTGAGTCCAGTCTCCAAACTAATGAAGAAAAAGCTGTCTGTACGGGTTTCTTCTGTGTCTGGCTAAACTTCCCTCATTAAAAATGAAAAAAAAAAAAAGGAAAAAAGGTTGAATTTGAAATTCTCATAGTCTTTTGAATTTAGAAATTAAAGTGCTAAAAGAACACAAAATATCATTAGACTTGCAGATGTTTGTGAGACTCAAAGGGCAGAAGAGGGACTGACCCCTGACGAAGTATCAGTTGCTCTATGGCAAATGCACGCTGAAAAGTAGGTGTTACACTGTTGTTCTGTAAATATCCTTCCCTTTGTGTTCATCAGAAGATCTCTGCCTTTTATTATCTCCTTTACTTTCCCCTCCCCTTTTTATCCCTTCTGGGGTCTTATTGTCTTCCCAAATTTTCCTTGGTCTTTATTTATTTATTTATTTGTTACCTGGATTAGTGTGCTGGGACCTGAGGTCACCTGTTGGGCAGGGTGATCGGAGTGCTCAGAAATGCGGCGTTCTCCTGCAGCGGCTTTGCTGAGCGCTCCTCCCAGCCCTGCGTGGCCAGCCCTGAGCCCTGCTGTCTTCTGGCGGGGATATTAACACCTACAAACCCCATTGGCTCCATCAGTTCAGGCAAAACTTAATCGTGACTTTCATTTTAGCAGAAATACGAGTTTTGGCAAACTAATGGTGCAGGATCAAGAAGTGCCAAGTGACAGCCGCGTTGGCGCGAAAGGCAACCCGAAGCGAGCGCCGAGTACAGAGCTGAGCGGTGTCTGTGTCACCGTGAATGAAATACTAACCTTTCCCGCTGCTGGAGGATCCCAAGGAGCGCTGGGCTTTGCGGGGGGGAACGAGGTGGCCCAGGTTTAAAGACGAGCCAAGGGGCAGGCGGGGGCTGCCCACGCGGCTCCTACACGCGCCATGGCCAGAGCCGCTTCATGGCGGAAGCGGGAGCTCTCCCTGTAGGGACGTGGCAGCGCACGGCGAGCGCGTGACACCACGGGGAGACGTGTGCTGAGCAGCTGCTGCCGGTGCCTTGCAGGGACCCACATGGCGTAGGGAAGGTGGCCTTGTCCATAACCCAAGCAATTCTGCTGGGACACGGATAGTGCTGGCCCAGCGACTGCCACGGGCCAGCTCTGTGTGCTGGGGCAAAACCGAGATGAACCTCGTTTCCTGATGGTTAACTTATTGTCATCACTGGTGACTTCCGGCTGGACATTGAGGGAAAGCAGATCTGAGAAGTGCTTTCAGGTCTGACACTCACGGGGAGATGTTCAATGAGCTTCTGATGTTCCTCTGTTGATTCCTTCTCCCTGTCCTGGCCGCTTGTCTCCTGGTGTCTTTCTTCTCTTCCAGAATGGATATTGAGAGAGTGCAGGCCGCACTAGGCCCGCGTGCCCTGTGGCAGGGTTTAGCCTCCCGGCCGCCCGCCCACATGGGCCCCGCTGCGCGAGCACGTCGGCTGCGCTGGGGCGAGCGCTGCGGACACCGTCCCCAGTGCCAGGAGAGGAGATTTTCCCTTCCCTTGGGAAAAACACAGCTTTTAAGGCAGAGAGCAATCTCGCTGCTTGTAATTCTTCGAGGGCATGTCCAGCAGTTTTGCTCTGCTTGTGTTCAGAGGGAAAAATGTTACGATCTTAAGAGCTGGGATGGCCTGCATAACCCAGGAACAAGCAGAGAGGAAGGAACCTGTCTGTGTTGTCTTCCCCGGAGTGTTTTAAGTAACTGCTTTAACCTGGTGTAATATATTACTGCCACCTAGAGCCAAAATCAGAAACTGCACCCAAAACACTTCTGCAGAAGAACCCATCTGCAGAAGGCAGGCATGTGTTAAAAAAAAACAAATGAGTTTAATTAAGGGCAAAAGAGGTACCTTTTATGTGAAAACATTTTTTTTAAAAAAAAAAAGAGAAAGAATAAATTAGTACCTCCAGTGCATTTCAGTGAATGTAAAACTAGCTTCTGCTTCTCAGGTAATATAATTTAAGGCAGTTCTGTTTGTCAGAAATGTAAAAAGGGAGATAAATTTCCACAAGAGAGACAGTAAATAAGGAAGGTAAACACAGAATATAGGTACGGACCCAGGGGAGGGCTGGCAATTGAAAACTGAATCCATCCTAAATCAGTTTTAGAGCTTTCCAAACCACCCAAGGATTGGAAGATCATCTTGATTGGAGAGTAATAGGCTTATTTGGAATTTGGATCATATAGGTTACTTTTGCTTCATTACAATTTGAGGAGTTTTTCTTACTGAGCATAGCATTTTATTTGTATTTTGAATTGAAAACATCAAAATCTCTCTTCTGTCAAGTCTTTTTCTTCCTGAGCCCAGTTAGCTGGATGGTGCTGCATGCTCCGGGAAGCACGAATGGCCTTGAAGAGTCACCTTCCTAACCTCTTTAATTCTGGAAGCTTTAAATCTTTGTAAAATACAAATTAAGCAAATTACCTTAGGTTTATCCAGTCTCATAAGTTTTAAACCTTGACTTAAATAATCATTACCTTAAGATAATTAAGTAATCACCCAGCATGAATTATCGAATGCTACTGTTATTTCAAAAACTAATCCCCCAAATTCTCTCCATAAATTACCCTTGAACCCTAAGGGACAGCAAAAGACCTAGCTGGAACCCTAAGATTTGTTTCCTTTGGTATTATTTGTGGGGTCAGGATTTACTATGAAAAGATTATGAAGACTCATTATCTTTTTCATTCCAAAACCTAACAATGTTGGAAATGAATACAGTTTACAGGACAAATGTGTTTGCTTTTTCTTGCTTTTCCCTATAAATATTAGAACTCAGGCTAAACACCTTCGGTCTGTTTCAGACAGAGGCAATTGTGATGGGTAAGGTTAGCTATTGAGTGCCTGTAAGCAACAGGTCAGTGATACATTACCCACAGGAAAACTGGGTAAATTCCCTTTACTTGGGTTTATCCTTGGCTGTCCACAAGTGAGAGCTGCTGGTGCAGCTGCCCGGGCGCTTGGTTTGGGGCACCCAGGCTGGGCTCTGCATCTGTTGGCTGCGGGTGCTGGCGGGCAGCGTGATGGGCTCTGCGCCAGGGCCGGTGCTGCTCCGGCCTCGCGCTCCGCTCCCGGCCCGGGGCTGCCCTGCCGCGGTGTGGGAGGCGGCTCTAAACCAGCACCGAGGGGCTGCAAGGCCAGTGCCCCGGCTAAGAGGTCTTGGCACATCCGTGTCTCTCTGCTGCCTGAACTGTAAGAGCAGGAAGGAAGCGGTCTGAGCATGTGATGGAGTGATGGAAAGGAAGGCGGGTACCAGTATAACTTGAGCCACTACAGTTAAACAATTACTATTTCCACTGCAGACAAAACTTAATATAGCCTCAGCAGTGTGTGAATCTGCCTAAGATTTGTCCTTCATATCAGGTTATTCCAAACGAGGTTGTTTGCAAAAGGAAGTTGGAAATAATCCCAGTTGTCAGCCTGCTTCCACATCTACTTTCAAGGCTACAGAAGTAATTGGCCAACTTTGCTGTTTGAAGCATTTCCTTAACAGCCGAATCCCACAGGAGATCACTCTTGGCGCAGTGGCCTCTGTGGTGGCCCCTCTCCATCACAAAAGGCCTTTGGTCTTGCACTGTCATCACGATCATCCAGCTACGTCTGGTTTTACTTCTGAAATACACCAAGAGGTGCTACAGTCAAAAAAAGCAGGAGAGTAGGATTTGACATGGGTCTATACAGAATAACACCTTTTGGGACAGTATGCATTTTCTTCCTCTTGCTATGTCTGTAAAATCATAAGACTTGATTTATCTCCAAGAAAATGGTCATGGCCATATAATATTTCGATTTTTTTTGCGCTAGTTTTGAATTTCTGTGCTTTATAGCTTTTCTGATATGTTCCTTCCAGCTTTGAAGTTTTCAAGTAAAATAAAACCTTTACAGTAGTTATTGCTGCTCTAAAAATATAGAAAAGAAAAATAAAAATGCACCTTAAGCTGTTTTCCCTTGTTGACATGTTCTTCTTCATCCTTTTACTCCGCCTCGAGTGTTTGTAAAGTGTCAGAACAGGCTTTCAAGCCACAGGAGAGAAAATACTTCAGCCTGAGAAAATAGTTGGGGAAGTGGTTGAAGAGGCGAATTGGTGGCTGAAACCTCGGTTGCTTAATTGCTTCTTATGGTGGGAACTGGGCAAGTGACAGCTTTGACCAGAGTCCTCCTGGCTTTGGAAGAATGTCCGCTCGGTGAGATTGCAGACATGAGGCTTTGCTGTAGCTGTGTGGCTCCTCTGTGAAGCTGGGGTGCGGGCTGGCAGCAAGGCCCATCAGACCTGCTGGCCTCGCTGCTGCGGCCTCCTCGCCTTGGAGGGGACGGTCCCAGCTCGCTTTGGAGGTGCTGGGCGGCCGGGGCCCCGCGCCGCCCCGCGCTCGGCTTGCCTGAGCACAGAGCTGTGTTTGCTCTGCGTGCAGTGTCACTGAGACCACGTGTCAGCCACTGCTGCTTAGATGGAGGCAACCGGTTGTTACAAGGCGACTATTAAAAGGGCTGTAGTATTGAGGTAGGTGATGATGTGATATATTAATTTTTTTGTTGTTTCTTTCTGTGTTCCAGGAAGGGTGCTTGTGGCCTTCAGAAAGCTCCGTTCCACGCCAGGGTGCTTCAGAGGTACGGACGGTTTTCTTGTCATCTTTACCAGTGTGCTGTTCTGTTCCCTGTCATATTTTCCCCCTCTTGAAAACATAACCGCTGTTTAGTAAATAAAACTTTATCATAGCTGAGCCTGTCTTTCTTACATTTTATAGATGTCTCAGACATTTTCATTAGGCCCTTACCTTATGTCTCCCCTGCAGCAGCAGCTCCCTGTATCACAGTAGGCCTTCACAGATGAGTGGTGGAGGTGCCTCTTTCAAGCAGTGGCTCAGTAATTGGAGCATTCAGCAGACTATGGGAGACCAGTTATTCTCCTGCCTGTTTTCTGTTACAAGTAGCTTGTCCACTAGGTTAAACACTCCTTCTAATTGGTCTTTCTCTGTGGCCCAACTAATTTTAATATAAAACACATATGGAGTCTTCTCCAGGTGAGTGCTGTAATTATTAGGGTTCAGCCAACAAGAATCCTCTCATCCTTGCCCTGAGAGTGTTTACAGTGGCCATGCGAAAATAAAAGCTTCAAAAGGCGGGAGTGACTGACCTTGCACCCCACAAAATGGGAGCATCTTGAAAGCAGAGTGTAGCAAGGCTACTAAGAAGCCTAAGGTGCAGGTTGGAACCGCTCCAGCTAATGTAAAAATTGAAAGAATTTCTTGTGTCTTCTGGCAAGTCCTTTAGCTGCTAAGCTTATTAGCAAAAGTTGAGGTGTGTTTTTGCTACTTCTGCTGCCTCCTTCTAACCCCTTCATGCATTCCTCCATGCCCCAGGCTTTCAAAGAAAGGAATGATATTCTCCTTCGTTTTAGCTGCCTTTAGAGGCTCTTACAGGGCAAATCTCGAGGCGAGGAGGACAAACTCCGGGGAATACGAAGGTTAAGCAGCAGCAGTGCCGACCTTGGACGGACACGGGCAGGGTTTACAGCACCTACCCTATCCCCAGGGTTTCCTGTCATGCAGCTAGTGCAGCTCCTGGCTCCATGTGCTCATTTGTGGGTATGTGGTTCTGAGCTACCTGGTTCTCCTTAATTTAACAGTGAATCTTCCTGGTGGTTGGACCAGGGCTAAAGACCCTGCATGGGCCTACAAACAAGAACAGCGATTCAACAGATCTAGATCTAGATCAGAACTAGGGGTATCAATATATGTCTGGAGCAGACTGAGCAGAAGCTCCTGAACTCTTCTTTTGGCAAATCCTGCCCTTCTTCAGGGCTTAAATATGCCAGAGACTTTTTTTTTTTTTGGTCAACTCACAGTATAGAAGCTTATAGAAGCCCCCACTAAAGGCTGAGCTCTGACTAAGAACTAAGGGGGAGGACAGCTGATAGTGAAGGCGTGAGATATGCTTGACCTTTCTATAAATGTGCTAAAATGACCATCTGAATTCTTTGGTAATGTCGCGTATTATATTAGTTTCAAGTAGGAGGTGGAGATTCATCCTGCAGCTGAAATTCAGCACCAGGACATTTTCATAAAAGTAATTAATTTTCAGAACTGGAGAGCAGACTAGCCTGGAGTGTTTCACTGTGTACAGAGACAGATTTTTTCCTCTCCATTCTGCATGTTTTAATGATGTCAGAGGAAGCTGTGGGGGGTCTTCATCTTCCTTCTTGGGGCTGTTCTCAAATGTTTTGTGTTAGATCGTTCCTCCAACTCCTGCCCTTCCTTTCCATGCCAACGTATGCGTGAGCCCACACACGCAATATTTCCTGGATTTAGCCTCTTAAAACAGGCATCAAGAAGAACCGTTTTCCATTTTGTTGCTTCTCCACGAGGAGCACCCGCTGTGCTTCGCTCAGGCGCCTCTCTGTCTCCTCCCGTTGCAGATCATGTATGCCCCGAGGTCCAGGGACAGGTTTACCGCCCCGTCGTTCATGCAGCGGGACCGTTTCAGTCGCTTCCAGCCCACCTACCCCTACATGCAGCACGAGATCGACCTGCCGCCGACCATCTCGCTGTCGGACGGCGAGGAGCCGCCGCCGTACCAGGGCCCGTGCACGCTGCAGCTGCGCGACCCCGAGCAGCAGATGGAGCTCAACCGCGAGTCCGTGCGGGCGCCGCCCAACCGGACCATTTTCGATAGCGACTTGATAGACATTTCCATGTACAATGGGGGCCCGTGCCCGCCGAGCAGCAATTCGGGCATCAGTGCAACCAACCACAGCAGCAACGGAAGGATGGAAGGACCACCCCCGACGTACAGCGAGGTCATGGGGCACTACCCGGGCTCCTCTTTTTTCCACCACCAGCACAGCAACGCGCCGCCTCCCTCGCAGAGGGGCAGCAGACTTCAGTTTCAGCAGAACAATTCAGAGAGCACAATAGTCCCCAGCAAGGGCCAAGACAGGAAACCGGGGAACCTGGTCTAAGTTCCTCTCCCAGGTGCGTTCGAACTGAAGAGGAGAGATGCGAGGAGGGCGGCGGAGGAAGAGGCCCCGCTCCGGCGCACGGTGTTGTTACGTTTCACGTGGTGCAACTGAGTAAAACCAAGCGTGCGCAAACCAGTCCTTTGCTTCTGATTCCTTTCGGGGGAATGGCATGATGCAAAACAGCTAGAGAGAAACACAAACTTCCATTCAGTTTGTCTATGAGCAGTGTTGCAGGGAAGAGGGGGGGATATATTATTTTTTTTTAATAAACTATTTCAGTTATTTAATTCTAAAAGTAAACTTAGCACAGAAATGAGGCTTGTACGGCCTGTTTTATACTCACTGAATGGCAGAAAGAAAAAGAAGAAGGTTTTACTAGATAAGTGGGGGAAGAATTGGCCAGTTTGCTTTCTTTTTCTCCCAAGGTGTGGATTTTTTTAATATGAATCAAAATTCCTGTTTTGTGTGCCAAGGTATAAAAAGTTGAGAACTTAGATGAATGCAAGGAATTAATTTGTGTTGTGATAAATGTGTTTTAAAAAGTTGCACTATCTTAATGTTTAAAAAAATATATATGAGGGAACTGTTTTATGTGAAGTTCTTCTATATGTTGTCTTTTCACCTGTGGAATAATGATTGAGCCCCAGAAGTAATCTGGAGGAGTTTACTCCCTCTCATCCCCCCCGGGTTTGCTAGAGAAAGGGGACAGGATTTAATCTAGCATCTCTTAATAAAAATCAAGAAATACAGGGACATTTAACTTGTCTTTGCAATAATTTGCATTCAAATAACAGTGCATCAATGGAGTGTCTTGCAGACTTTTGGCTGGAAGGAGACAAATATGAAATCCCAGCGTTTTCCATCAGTTAGAGTTTAGCTATTATGCGGTTTAGACTATTTGTTTCATAAAAGGCAAAACAAAACCCAGATGTGCTAATTTATATTGATTCTAACTAAGTGCTGCCATTCTTTTCCTTTTCATAATGCAGTATCATCAGTACTTAAGGTTTTAGAAGTTTCTGTCCTCACTGTAGTCTGAAATGTACTTAGTCACATATCATGGCATTATGCAATAAATTGTTTAAAAATGCAAGGCGGGGCTTTCTTTCCCCTGCAATGCTGTTAAAATATGAGAGACTGTTGTGCTTTTCCCTCCCCGCTTCATCTTTTAGATACTACTCTTCAGCCCTGGAGATGTGTTGGGTGGAAGTGAACGGGCTTTGGTGGTTCCAGCCCCAGGCAGCAGTTTCCGCAGCGGTGCTGGGAGCGGCGCTGGCTGCTGCAGCATCCCTGGAGGTGACTCGGGAGCACCCGTTAATGTCACAGCAAAACACCGGCCTTTTGCTGTGGGCCCTCTCATGCCAACCCTCCTCCGTGCACGTCATCCCATGGATGCCGGCAGGATTGTGCCCGTGGGTAACGATCGCTTATGTATTAAGCCCTAAGAGCCCTTATTTTGTCACACTGGTCTTAAAAGCAGTTGGAAGATTTTTACCCACCTTTAAAATGGCACGTAGGGTATTTCTTCCTTGGCTGTTTTTTTGTGGAGGCAAGCGCAGCACTGGAAGGCAGTTGAAAAATGGTGATAGTGGCATCACAAGCACATGAAAAAGCACAACTTGCACTTAAAATGCATTTCGGGAAATGGACTTAAAACCTTTAGAGTCTTAATTTGAATAGTTTCTAATATATATATGTGTGTGTGCATGTGTGTGTGGGGGGATGCACAAGAGACTTTCCTGCCGAAGATCTTTCTTTCCCTTTCCTGTGTTTGCAGGCTTGGTTACCGAGTGCCGCAGGGCAGCGGTGGGTTCCTGCGGGGCTCCGGCCGCCGCGGCGCCCGTCCCTGAACCCACCCTCCATCTATGCAGAGTTTTAATGCCAAAACTGTGTGTGTGAGTGTGGGCGCATCTTGTGGGTCTCGGCGTAGGTTATTTCCTTCGTAAGCTCATTTGGTCTTATTTTGGTTTAGAAAGCATTTGAATAACTGTTAGTCTGAATACGCAGCCCCATTTGTCACTGTAATTGTGTCTTGGTCTGAATCACCCTCATAATGCAGGGTAAAGTTGCCCTTTAATTTACGTAGCTTTCAAAGGAAGAGGTTAGAAACTTTATGACTAGATTCCCCTTTTTTTCCACTCAGACCCACAGGGCAGGAGTTTAGGAGAAGACTAGGTGTCTGTCTGTCATGTCCTGGGAGTAAAAGTTCTGAAATTGGATTTTTGCAGACAACCTCTTTAGTCAAAAAAAAACCCAAGGTGTTGCTTTTTGGTCTTCATTGATTTTACCATCAGCCTGTAGTCAGCCAACACATGTGCCTGTGCAGATACTCTGCTGTTGCCTAAATGTGGATTATTCAGCCTTTAGGGCGAAGAACAGCTGGAACTCAGTCGTGTTGGCAGAGCTCACCTGCACTAGGCCCTGGCACGGGACCTCTGGAATACTCATTTGTTCCCCATATGCAGATCTCACAGGAACGAGCCTTGGACTTTCCTTCAGGGTCACCTCGTGGAAACGTGTTTGCTTTGAGGTCAGCCCTTTGCAACCTGTGCGTGCCAGGGAATTCGCATGCAGCCCGTTAACCTTGTTGGCTGTGAAGCGTGCACGGAGTTGTCTCTTAATTTGCCTTGGCTGAGGGTTAAAAGCTGTATGGAAAAAGTAACCCATTTTACCAGTTCTGTAGGAAAGATTTGTTTAAAAAACTTTGAAAAGTACTACAGTATTTGCCCACATAGTGGCTGTGCCTACATCTGCACAGTCCTCTGTTATTTGCTGTAGGAGAACTTGCGGTCCATTCATTTGGATGGGCTCAACTGCTGTGGTAGTAAATGTGGTATTTTCTAACTAGTTTTAGTGATCTCAGATGGGAACCATTACAAAAACCTGTGTTCTCTTTCAATTTCTTTTTTTTTATGTTGTTGAGAGAGAACATATTTGATAACAGGACAGAAAGGTAAAAGAAAGAAGGAAAATTAAAAATTCAATAGACATCACTAACAATCTGTACAGGCTTCAAAACTGGTGTTCTCTTAAACTGGGTAATTCTATGAAGTAACTCTGGCAAATTCCTTTTTAAAATATCAAGGATTAATAAACTGTGCCCCACGGCCACTCAAATGCAGCTTTGTAAATTATTAAAGATTTCTGTGAGTATTGTAGAGGTAATCATAGAGATCATACCTCCATACTGGCATTTTGTTTTAGGTGTTTCATGGGCAAAACTAATGAACCATATAAGCCTGAATTCCAGTTGCTTCTCCTCATCTTTGTCCAGTAATGCAACTTCCCTAGGCTCAGTCTAGTGCTGTCCCCATTTTAGCAATTTTAAAGCTAAAAAAAATCCTTTAAATGTACTTACTTAAAAAAAATTGAGAAAGCATGATGACCTCTCTTTTACTTACCATAAAAGCTCCTTTTCTCGTCAGTTATGTGGCATGGGTCATCTCCTGCTCCTAAGGATGCCCCATTTTCGGTGTCTTGTCCTATAATCTTCCAGGCCTAGAAAAGGCAGGGTCTGTAGCCGTAGAAAAGAGCTTTCCCTGAAGCTTTCCCAATGGAGTACTTGGCACTTAGCTCTAATCCTGGATGTACTTTCGGCGTGACTGTGGTTGGGTTTGTCTCAGTGCTGTGTGATTAGGCTCTTTGCATAGGAAGCACCTTCTTTTAATATATGAATCAAGACTAGGAAAACTAGTCCTATTAAACGAGCAGTGTTAAGATCACTGCTCTGCAGTGTGGGCAGCAGACGCAGGATTCCTGGGAGTGCGGTGGGTTGGGATGGTTTTGCCAGGGAGGGCTCCTTTATGCCACTCCTAGTCTCGTCATTGATGAACGGCACTTAATACAGCTTCAGGCCGATGTGAGTTTATTACAGCATCTTCTGTTCTTGCAAGGATGAACACTCGGACACGTGCCTTGTGCACAAAGCCTGGATAGCTAGGGAGGAAGGTATTTCTGTGGTCGTAGGATGCACTAGGTCCATGGCTCAAACTGCACTCATTTTATTCCCTTTTTATTGCCTGCTGCAACCTCTGCCACCAGTTTGTCGGAGCTGAAATCCGCTTCTCATATCCCAAACTCTTTCTTTTTATGTATATGTATGTGATGCATTAAGCAAGGAGGTGCCATTGAGATTTTTTTTCTGTGAACACATTTTGGGGAAGAGCCAGGAGGGAAATTTCATTGTTCCTAAGTGAAGCACTTTCTCTGGAGTAGGGGAAATGGCCCTGTCCAGCCAAAAGACCTGGCCCATAGCCTTTCTGGAGCTGCGTTGCTGGAAAACTTCATCTCTAATCCTGCCTGGTAGTGAGATGTTGGACCTTAAAGCTGACACCCTGTTTTGTAAAGAATGTTTGAATGTTTTAGGCAAGATTGATGACAGACCTTTCTGTGGCTCTGAGCCCTGAACAAACTAAAGTAACTAAAGTAACTTGACTTCACCCGCAAAAAAAAAGCAAGTAGTAGTGCTGGGAGAAATAGATGTTCCAAAACTGTTCTCTGCATTTTTTTTTCAAGGATAAACAATACACTTGCTGGACATCTGAAAATATTTAGATACTTAAGATTGTCCCCAGTCTCTCTCTGGTCATTGCCGTTGAGCCGTGTCCATGTGTGCATGTGTGTGTACATGCCAGCATGCAAACGTGTGCTTGTACCCCGTCTCCTGATCATTTGTCCATTAGTTATTATTCCCTAAGCACCTTCCAGAAATGCTAAGTAGTTATAGGTTGCGCTCTTGGGAAAAGTGACAGGTCATTTGTCAAGTAGCAGTATTAGGAGGATTTGGCTTTTGCTCCTGCAGATGTCATGCCCTTTTTTATCAGTTAGGAAGTTTCTTGCTGTGCAAATTCTTACCTGTGATCTGGTGTGCTAGTACATCTTCCATCCAACAACAGTCTGTTTTAGGCTGGGCTTTGAAAAATCCTGATGCTTTCGGGGCAGCCCTAGTGTAGACCTCATATACTGACATACTGGCAGGAAATGTGCTTTTCAAATCTCAGAAGCATGTTATTTCAAACCTAAGAGATGCTGAGAACCAGGTGATCCCCTTTAACAGGCGAGTTCAGATGAAGATTGACTTTTGATGAACAACTTTGTGGTTTCTTGTTAGGCTAAAGGCATTATAAAGAATTGTCCTAAAACAACCCAAAATATTTGAAATCCCTGCAAAGAGATGCTCTTACAGAATTGTTCAAGACCTCTTGAGGCCCTCTAGCCTCCACTGGCAACATTGGGCTCCCACTGCCTCTTCCCAAAAAACTCTTTAGATGTAGATGATGGCTCACTTTCAATGAAGTGCTTTACCACACCAGTAAGTACCAGTGACACACAAATGTAGGGGAACACTGGTGTTTTCCTGAGAATCACTTTTTTTACAATAAATGTATTCTATTTTTTTTTTTTTGGTAACCACTCACCTTATTTCTCCTGCTTTCAAAAGGAAAAGCAAGCATGGCTTTGTATTGAAGCATGCTGCAAACTCTCCTGGCTTTTACGTCTGCCTTGCTCTAGTCTACGTTCCATTTTTCGACCGAACAAAAGCAACCTGTGTACCGGTATAGCACTTGAACGCTCAAAGAGTGTTCCTTTTTTATGTTGGTTTAGTGATAAAGAGAGAAACAAACACATATAACAGAGATACTTCCCTCCTCCCCTCTGACAGCCGCCTCCATGTGATTTACTGCCCGAGATGACGCTGTCATTTCTTTGCTGTATTGCTGCTGCTGCTGCTGCTGCCGTTTTATATGGTTTGGTATGTGAGCTTTCTGAAACAGTGTGGTATGTGTAGGATCTCGTGGGTGACAAAGCTGTCTTCTTTTGATTCCTCTCTTCCCTCCTTGGTTTGTGCTTGTCTGTCTGCTGTGCTAGGGTTACTAATGAACTAGACGTATATGTGTTAGGTATATAATTTCGAGGAGGTCTGCATGTCAGTAGCTTGTAAGCAACTAAGGTGCCTCACGTTCAGGTCTGAGCAGATAGGAACCCCCTTGCACTCTGCAGGGCCTGAGGCCGAGCGCAGCGCGGGCGGCCGGAGGGCTCTCGCCGACCGTGCCGCGCTCCGGGCCAGGCCTTTCGCTCCCACCTTTGTTGTGCCTCACTTAAAATGGTGCTTTTTCAGTTGTCTGTCTCTTCTTCTGTCATTTTCTTTTCTTTTCTTTTCTTTGTATGGTGCTGTGTATAACTTGAATATATTATGCACATATCCTACCCAATGGGTAGAACAAACAAACATACAAAAACAAATAGATGTTGTTAATACTGTAAGATAATGTATAGATGATACCAATTTTAACACAAAAACGGCATAGACTTTGTGAATGCCAACTTCTGTGCTTGGTCCTTTTTTGTAAGAAAATTTGCAATGAATGCATACAAATGACAAAAAGTCTATGTATTTTATTTTCCTATTAAATATCAATATAATATCATAAGGGAAAAAAGTTTGAACAAATCCTTTTTGACTAGCCTGTGTATAGCAAGTGGTTGTTTGATGCATCTTTGCTGTGAAGATTTGTTCTTTTTTTTTTTAAATGTGTCACTTTAAGAAAAAGGAAAACACAAAACAAAGCAAAACAAGCAAAACCTCCACAGCTTTAACCTTGCAACTAGATGCTTCTCTTATGGGTTGTTGCCTCACTCTTGCTGAGTTGGACCAGTATTAGCTACTACTTCTCTAGCAGATAGATTATTTATTCTTATCCTCAATTACCTTTCTTTTTTTTTTAATTTTAACCTGTAAATGGGTGAAACCCCCTCCGACCTCTTTGTCCACAGCCCAGGTTTGAAGTGAAGCTCAGACAGGTGGGAACTGATCCAAATCACGCCCGCAAAATCCACAACGGCCCAACAACTACCCCACCACGAGCGACCACCCCTCCTTTCATGCCTGCCACATCAAGGTCCGTGGTCCCTCCGTTCCCACTTAGCGCGCGCAGGGCCTTTCCTCGCCGGTGCTTTGGCCAGCGGCACCGCCGTCCCCGCCACCGCGGGCAGCGACAGCCAGGCCAAGGTCACTACGTAAACGATCATGGGGAAAGGCCCACGCGTGCTCAGACCCAGCGAGCTGGTTTGGTGCCCCCAGCCTTGTCGCCACGCGCTGGGCCGGCCGGCCGCTCGCTGCGCGGTTGGTTCAGGAAAGCAAAATACCTCAGGAAAACGAAACATGAAGTTCTAGTTTAGAGAATTGCAGATACTGTACTTATTTTTCTAACCTGTTTGTTCTAACCATCCCAGGACAGTAGGTGGTATAAAAGTTTTATCAGTCCCAGACAGAAGGACCCTCTCTCACATGGATGCTGACTAATCGTTCGTAGATACGCTTGTCTATATGTAGCTTTTTTGTACTCGTCAGGCTTTAACCACAGACGCACCGTAGCAACGTGTCGGGATATGGCTGAGATGGCGTTTTTGTTTGTTTTTTTCCGATGACTAGCTAAACGCTAGGCTAAAACTCAGGGGGCCTTATCCAGGGCCCGCTGAAATCAAGGGCAAGACTCCCCTGGTTTCAGTGGACTTTTGATTTGGTCCATAACCTGCGAGGAGCAGGACTTGGAGCACGGTCCTCTGCCAGCCTCCTGCGACTTCTCTATTGATCGGGAACTTCAGCTCTACATTTGTCTGTAAATATCTTTTTAAAAGCCGTCACAGGCTTCCTGTATCTGAATGCTGATCATGGTAGTTTTGTTTCCTTTGTTTGTTTGTTTTAAATAAATATATGAGTTTTATGGCCAGTTCCACATCATCGAGCCCTTGCAGGTACCTTGTATCCATCCCTCTATATATCGTGCTGTTTGATCAGTAAGCATGTACCATAGTCGAATATGCACATTTTATGACTATCATTTGTTAATTTGTTAGCTGTTTGTCAGGGCACAGAGTAGCTGTTTGGAAGGTTTGCCTTGCTGGCCGTGCTCACGTTTCTGCTTGCACTGGGGCACGGCGTCTGCAAAAAGCAAAGACCCCCAGGCCTTGGCTAGGATGAATCCTTCCAGAGTGAGCCTTGCACAGGAGTAATCTGGAATATGATTTGTAATAGCCAAGCTTGCATACTGAGTGGACCAAACATGAGGATGTTTCCCTTGAAAGGCACTAACTTGCTTTGAAACTGCAGTGGAAAGAGCAGACTTTCTCTTACGCAGAGCCGCGCGCTCCCGCTCCTGCCTTTACCACAAAGCACAGCAGGTAACTGTTATTCAAAAGCAAAACGACAAAAAAAGTAAACCCAGATGCCTCTGGCATCATAGAACTGGTCAGCGAGAATAAGATAAGAGCACTCAATATTCTTTAACACCCTTTTGCTACTTAGAGTGCAAAGACAACGCAAGCATTGTTGGGATTTGATCTCTGCATTGCCATCCACTGCCCAGTGCTGCTGTGTTCAGAGCATTTCACGATGGCATGTACATTTGTTGGGCCGTTACACCTAAAATTTACCATCAAATTCCTGTTTTCAGAGTGCAGACCCTTTCTTTGTTGTTTCTTGCTGATTATTTTACAGTGTAAAATGCTTTATTGCTGTATGGGTGTGTTTTTTTATTATTTCCAACATCGTGGCTTTCAAGATCACATTTTCAACGTCTCTCTTATTTTTTGTCCATTTTGTTTCAAGTTATTCTGAAATATGTACAGCACTATCAACAATATTTAATCTTTCTTTTTAATTTTATTATTGTAAAAACAAATCTATTAAAATAATAAGCCTTTTTACAACTGTATTGGAACTTCTCAGTAGCTGTTCATGTGAAGCTATGACAAACCTGGCTTGCTTTAAAAAGATTTTTTTGTTTTCCTTTTAACACAATTAATTTGTTGCTTATTTTCCACAGTAACTTCCAGTTATATACAGGAAAAAATTTCAACTGTTGTGTATCTGACTCTTTTAATTGAGCAAATGGTGATGTCCTAGTTTTTAGACCTAAGGTCTGTTATTGCAATACTTTTAAAGGAAGATGTTGCTCTAAGTGCTGTTGTTAGTTTTAAATACAGATTTTATGCTTGTTCTTAATATGCTGTGGTTAAACCATAGCACAAAATTATTAAAAACCATGAAATGCATTTGTCTCCTGTTGCATTTATTTTCTCTTTGAGCCCAGAAGAACAGAATGACGGTGAAACGCGAGGGTGGCGTCTGTAAGGCAGCAAGCACTGACCAGGCTGTCTTCTCCATGGCCGGGCTGCTGGCACGCAGGTTGCAGTCGCTGGAAGCAGGACAGAGCCGGGGCTCCAGATACGCAGAGAGGCTCTCGGGATGGAGCGTCTGCTGAGGACGCTGCGCGGGTGCTCGCACTTTCCCTCCCTGGCGATGAGCACGGGGTGATTTCAGAGGCTCCTGCCCGCCCTGCCAGGCCCTTGCCTGTCGTTCATGGCAGTTGGCAGCCTGCACTGCTAATTGAGCCCTTGGTGGCTGCTGGTTCCGTTAACAGCCGCAGCTGGGTCCTCGCTAGAGCACTGCATGTTGGTGGCTGCTCCTGACGTGCTAGAAGAGGAGACTGGCCACCTGCTTGATTAGCAACGGCCCCATGTTCTTTAGCTGAACATCTGATTCATAAATGAACTCTCGGGCCATGGTTCATGGGGAATCCCTCCCTCCCCTCTCATTTCACAAACCTGGGTAACGCCTTGGCCACGCGTTAAGAGTAATCGTGGCCATGTATTGGGGGAGGAGGAGGGAGCGGAGATGATGCTGTTTGCAGGAGATTAGACATGAGGATCTCAGGAAAAACATTCATCTTTAGTACAGCACAGTAGTACAGATCCAGCAGTGTCTGTGGGTGATGTCTCCCTCTGCGATGAGAAAGCTTAAGAGAATTAGGAGAGTTTTTTCCAAAACAGTTAATTTCTATTTATGCATAGGTGTCCAAATGCATCTAAAATGATGCTTCCTTCAGCACTGTTCGCTTGTGGTGTTCTGTCTGTGTTTGCTGGATCCTGCGCTCTGAAGCAGGGAGGTAGCAACGCGGAGGTGACGCTCTCCCAGGAGGTCAGGTCTATGGGGTAGCCCCATTCCCGGCCCACGTGGAGCCACCTGCTTACGGAGCAGCAGTGACCTCTCAAACAGGAACCAAGGGAGTGTTCCACCTCCCGCTCCCCTTTTCAAATATCATGGTTATTTCAATGTGACAACACCTTTCTGTGTGTGGTTCAAAAGTCATAGTTTTCCCTCTCTCTAACCGCCTTGCGCCAGCGCTCCCCCTGCTCCAGCATTTTAATTCTGAGGAACTGGCTGGGGCCTCAGCGCTTAGGACTGCTCCAGATCTCACACGTCTGCTCCTCCTCTGCCGTCTGAACCCTGAACTCCCGGGGAACTGCAGTTTTTTGAGGCGGCTTTGATCTTTTACTTAATCTGGTTTTAATTGTATTTATATTTGTTTTATAATATGCTATTCTGTTTGATTGTGTTTTAATATCTTTGCCAATGGTAGCTGCTCAGAACTCAGCTGTAAATGGGATGTCTCATCTCAGTAGGGTTACTTTTTCCTGTTAAAAGATTAATACAGTGGCTGCTGTAGTCCTGTGAAACCTTCAGGTCTTGCTTCCAGGCTCCCAGCAGTATTGATTCTCATTACAAACACCATGTTTTTACCATCCCAAATCCTTTTCTTCCACAGACCACTTTATAATGAGACTTCGTTGCTTAGACAAAAATTAATTAGGCTTCTCTCATTATCACTGTTTTGATCAGTTATGCTTTAAATGAGTTCTAATTAAAATGCACATTTTAAAAACCTTTCTGCTGAAGCCCATTCTATTTGCCCGCTTCTGCTGCAGCCGTGTCCTGCTTTTGTTCGGCTTGCACTGTGTCACTTTGACAGAACTTGAACACTGGTTAATATAAAAACTTGCATGATTTGGGTTTTTGGGTGGGTTTTTTTTTTTTTTGCTTTTTTACTATATGTTTTTCCAGCTCTACTGCCAAATGTTTGCTCTTGAAAGCAGAGGTTAGATTGGCAATATCTATTTCTTTTTTTAATGTGATGGATGTGGTGCGCTGGGAGTTTCCCTGTGCTGTCAGTAACGTTCATTTCAAAATGAATGAGGGACAACCCGTGTGCGGCACTTACTTACCGTGAGTTAGCTGAGTGTTTCCGCTCCCCTTGGCTGTTCCAAACGGCCCTTCCTACAGAACTGCAGCTGGCAGGACAGCACGATCCGTCCCAGCGATGCCGGTGGTAACGTGCCAAGCGAAGGCCGCTTTGCTGGGATCCCAGCGGATGTGGGAGCTGCTCCTGGCGGAGCGCAGCCTCCACTCCTGTTTTCCTGAACAGAGGGACCGCTCTTAAGAAGGAAGATCCATACTTTGTTTTCTGTAATGGTTTACACTATGGAGCGCTAATAGGTGCTAATACCATTTTAAAGATGAGGAAATGTGCTCTAAGGAGGGTATAGGGGATCTCTGTGCAGTCCATGCCACTGCTGGGAATAACCTTCCCGTCACCATGACCCCAGACTACGAAGCGTATTTCTTCCCTGCCCACTTCTAACGTCCATGCACCGCTCTCTTGCCCGGGCTGTTTTTCTGCATCTTGCTGATAAGTGCAGGGTTTTAATGAAGCTGTTGGGATGCAGCCATCCCTCGCCCGGAGGAAAAAGGGTGTTTTTCTCCATGGAGGCCAAGACGCCATCCTTGAGCTCCGGCAGCTCCCATCGATGCCAGCACCAGATCACTGCAGATTAATCCAACGTTTGCAGACATCGCAGTGATTGACAGCACAGTGGAAAATTCCGGTTTAATCCCGCTCCGTGTGCCGCAGACCTGGGCTCAGACAGCTTGACCTACATTTAACCCTGGGTGCCAGGAAGCTCTTACGGGCAGAAAGAAACACAACAAAAAAACTATTATTATTATTTTTTTCCTCAAAGCGGTGAGAAGGTGGCTCAAGCTCATTCCATGCCTATACACACACACACACACACACACACACACCCCACACACGTGGCATTATGCTGCAGGTCTGGGAATGTCTCATGGGCTGAGCCAGCTTTGCCCTAGTTGCCTTTCCTTGATGCAGAAGCCATGTAAGTCTTGATACTTTAGGCAAGCATTAATGTGCTCGCCTAGCACTTCAGCAGGGTTTGTGGCACCAGCCAAATACAGGAGTCCCTTATGTCTGACTATGGGGTGAGGGTTGTAAGTGCTTGAGAACTTGCTTACAGCTGCAAACTTCACAGCGCTCAGACAATCCTGACGAGCTGGTGGCTGTCCCTAAGGTTTTGTCAGGAAAACCCAGGTAGGCTGGGCTTCCTGCAAAGTGAATCCCGTTCATCTGGCCCCATTCCTTCCCCAGGGGAAAGGCTGTGATGGCTCCTCCAAAGTTTAACCCTGTTTGGTTGGAATAGCTGCCGTGCAGCACTAGATCACACAGTTACTCAGTGAGAGGGGCACCGGGGCATGTTAAAAGCCATATGGCTGAGTGATAACTACATTAGTTACTCAGTATGCAGCCCCATCACCTTTTTAAATTATGCACTATATTCTGCTGATGTTACGCCTATATATAAGGAAATATGCATGCTAGCTATAGCCATATGCTATGAGAAGCAGACACCTTCTTCATCTAATGTGAAGTTATGCTCTCTCACGAAAATGACATTAGATGCACTAAAATCACCATCTGACAAGCTGCACAGAAGAAATAAAGTGCCTGTACATGGTAAAACTGTACTCTTGTGAAAGTAAACTGTGCAGCTATCATTTAAGTGCTGCTTGTGCACTGACAGCTTTACTTTCTTTTTTAGAGTAGCTTGACTGTGTGCAGGGACATGCTATGCAGATCACATGCAAATTGCTTATATAGGAGACTACTGCACAACACGTCTGCAATATAAAATATGCAGTTATTGACATTATGCGGAACGCAGAGTATTCCTTATATAAAACTGTGCTATGGTATCTTTGCTTTTCTGCTCTAATCCATGCTAAAAGGTAAGCCCACGTATCTGTGCTGAACCAAGGCGTTAGCCACCAAGCACTGAGCGACTCACCCGTTCACTGAAAATCTTGAAGGTGTCTCCTTATGCACTAGCACCATAGTGACACGTCTGAAGTGGCTAAACCTTGTATACGTGTTCTCAGCTGCTTTTTAGGGAACGTCACGCCTGGTCAGCGCTACCACGTGCCTGGATGATGTGCGGGGCCATGGGCGGGATCGCGCTGGCGGGAAGCGCCGCTCGGTGCCGGCTGAGGGCACCTCACGCACTGAGCTCGAGGCGTCACCGCGGCGCACCCGGAGCTCGGGCCTCCTGCACCCAGGACCCCCAGTCTTGTCTGGTGCATATCCCACGGGGTGATAAAAAAATATAGCAGGTGATGATGCTTCAGCCTCTGTGTTCACAGGCTAGCGGCTGGTTTATGCTGCCCAGGTGGGCTGGAGGCTGCTGCTCGGAGGAGGGACAAGTTGCACGTAGAGTTTGCAGAGCCCCGGCGCTGTCCCTCCTGACCACGTTACTGCCCGGAGGCTGCCCGGGTGTCATCTGCCCAGGTCTCCTCCCAAGGGTCCGTCACTCTGCTCCACCGCTGAGCACCCGGCAGAGCAGTTTTCGTTCAGGTTGGGTGCAGGATCTGACAGAATAGCTCAAGCGCAAATCATGTCACTTCTATGCCTTTAATTCGACCATGAGAGAACATAAGATCCTTGATTCAACGTAAGATGGAAGAACGAGGACACTGACTGTTTGAACCAGCATGGAGTCTGCCAGCAGAGCTGGCCTAAAAGCTAGACCATGTTTGAGCTGGCAACATGCACTCAGCGCTGTCTTCTGCTTTGTGGCAGGAGCCACAGGGCACGCAAGCTGGCGCTACGCGTGCTAGCGCTGCGTTTAGCAGGTTGGCAAACTAGCAGTACCAAAACAGCCCTTGCCTAACCTTTTAGCTACTGCAGCATGATGAGCCCTTGCCAGCAGGACCCTCTGCTTTCTCCCAGGGAGTGTCTGCATGCTTCTTTCTCAGGGACAGGCAGGATGAGGGTGCTTGTCCCTATGTTTTTCCAGGTAGGATTCGTCTTTCCTTTCTGAACAAGTGGGTCTGGGAAAATGGGGCTTGGTTGTCAATGATCACAATGATCACGGCCACTACAGCGGATGGCCTAAAGCTGCTTTGGCTGCTGTAGCCCGTGAGGATGTGGGCACGGGGGTGTTTGCTGCTGGGGAGGCGGGGGGCAAGTGCTGAGCAACACAGCTTTTAGCACTGAATTTTAAGAAAACTTTATAAAAACGATGCTGAAGAATTTAGGTGCAGTCAGTTCTCCTCAAATGGTGGTTTTGTCTCTTCCTCGCCAAACACAGAACTAATTAGCAATCTTTAATTATGTTTCTTTTCGAAATCCTTCCCCTGATAAATTAGGTCTGTTTCTTTTTTTTTTTTCTTTTTTTCATTCCTAACCGAGTGTGTGGCGGTGTCTCCCCTGGGTTCTCTCCTCCCATAAATTCATCAAACAACAACAACAACAAACAAGCTTAACGCTCCATGCTGCCCTGCAGGCACGTGAAATCAAGCTGTGTTCCTCCTGCTCCGGAGACCATCTTCATGAAGACTCCAGGCTGCCGCCAGGGCACGGCTGCGGCTCTCCAGCGATTGCTGGCGCTGGAGGAAGGGGACGGCCTGCTCACAAGAGGTGACACCCGGGGGAGATGCCACTCGCTGCCGGGCTATGTGGGGACAGCGGGTCCAGCCCTCATGTGGTCTGTGCAGGGACAGCGGGTCCAGCCCTCACGTGGTCTGTGACACCTGCAGCACAGGGGTGTATAGGAGGGCCCTGGCAAGGCCACCAGCCCCACTCCCAGACCCCGGGGGTGCGTGGAGACCCACAGACTTGGCTGGCAGCTTGGAGAGTGCCAGGAAGGGGGGCAAGGGGCTGCCCGGAGGAGGAGCAGAGGCCCACACCATGGGGTCGCTCCCAGGGGTCTGCGGAGGGGCAGTCCTGGCATGAGCGTGGCAGGGATTTCCCGGGCACTCTGGTGCCGGCCAGGAAGCCGCAGGCCGCAGCCGAGGCGGGGGGGGGGGAGCGGGATGCGGGGAGGGCGGCTGCGCGGGGCGGCACCGCGCTCAGAGGGGCTGCAGGAGGGGCCATGGCGAACAGGGCAGGCAAAGGCAGGTCGGTGCTGAGGAAGGAGCTCTCTAGCCTCGTGCTGGCTCAGCATGGGCCGGCTGTGAGCAGCACGGGCAGGAACTGGCCCCAGGGGGGCAGTTCGTGAGAAGCAGGATGTGCTGTGGGGCAGACGGGGACTGTTTGACCAACCTGACTGCCTTGAACACTGAGATGACTGGCTTGGAGGATAGGGGTGATACGGAGAACCATTGATACTGTTTACCTTGACTTCAGCAAGGCTTTTGGCACTGCCTCCCGCTGTATCCTACAGACAAACCCATGAAGGAGGAGCAGTCAGCGAGGGGGACCGACAGCGGGCTCAGCGGTCAGGCTGAGAGTTGTGATCAGCAGCATCAGGTCCAGCTGGAGGCCAGTCACTAGTGACACCCACCAGGGGCCCACATTGTAACACCTCCGTCCACGGTGCGCACAACGGGACCAAATGCGCCCTCACGCCGTGGCTGAGCCGCACGGGGGACCTGGGCAGGCTGCAGAGGGGCAGAGAGGAACCTCAAGGAGGTCAGCGATGAGAGCGCAGAGCCCTGGGCAGGCCGCACAGGGCGGGCACCGCGCGGCTGGGGAGCAGCTTTGCAGAGGGCCGGGGTCGTGGCCCTGCAGGCCCCGTGGGGGACGATCCTCCGCCGCTGCTCAGCGGGGCCTCCCAGGACAGGACAGCCTGGTGTTGAGCTCTTTCAAGCCTGAAGCGCTCATCTAGGCTACAGCCCCGCATCACAGAGAATTCAGTGGCCACAGCAGCTTGTACTTAAATGGAAACACTAAAAGGTAGCATTAAAGTACTGCTTTTGAGTGCTTCCTAACCCATCTGCGTGCTCCCCCATCTGCACTGCAGTTCCTCTTCCTTCCCACATCCATGTTGTGGCTTGGATTGGGAAACGGAGTTCTGAAAATTATTATTTTAAATCCATGACGTGTTTCCCAATTTCCTCAAACACTGCAGTGACCTGAGCCAAGCATCCCGCTGTGCTAGAAGAGCAGAGAGCAGCACAGACACGAAACCCAGAGTTGATAAATGTGCCCCACTCTTTACAAAGCGGTAGGTGCCACAAGATAGCAGGACCCTTCCCCGCCGTCCCTTAGGGTTGTATTAAGGTAAGCGAGCCCAGGGCTCTTGCTTAGAAAACAGGACATGATCTGGTTCATCATCCCTGGTAGCCAGAAAGGGAGAACAAGAAAAGGTGCATTACTGTTTTCGGGTCTGTGAAGGTAGGTTACTAGTCCACAGAGTCTCACTCATATCTCAGTTCAGCTTAACATGACTTATTTCAATGCACAGGCTAAAAGCAGGGCTACATTTGTGCAGCCCAGACGTTCAGGCAGAGAGATAAATTAGCTCTGCAGCAATGTGCAATTGCCTGTCAGCAGTTTCAGTATCTCACTTACTTCCAAAAAATGTTAAGACACTAAAATAGAGGGAAAGAAAAAAGCATCTAATGTTTAACTCCATTCTGACTGTACTGCTCATCTCAACAATGCAAGAGTCAACAGTTAGAGAGAATTCTTTTTTAATAATATTCAACATAAACATGGCACTTTACATCCTCAGGGCACTGAACATACAATGATTACTCCCCACAACATCCCTGTGAGGTAGGCATTAGACTGCTCTTAACCATCTGACATGTGGATAGTGGCAGACAAGTATGGAATCAGTCTTGCACATTTAGCAAATCTCAACCTCCTTAAACAGGGACAGGTCCTCAGTGACTTGACTGAATGCAGAGGAATGGGGCAAAGCTGATACCTGATCAACCATATTCTTTTATCTTAATCTTCGGGTCCAAGCCTGTGCCCCCTCATGTCACCCTGCAAACAAACATACAAACAAACAACCCCACACAACCCTTGCTCTCAGTAAGCAAGCATGCAGAGATTTGTTACAAAGTGGGGGCTGTAACAGAGATGGGGGGAGGGAGGGGGAAACCCACCACTGTAATTCAGCCTAACCTTGAATAGAAACAAGAGGGAACTTTGCCTGCTCAGTCAAATTGAGCAGTTTCAGCTTCAGTTGTTAATGTCCCCGACACAGCATTTCGACCTTCAGCTCTGAATGAAATAAAAGTATTTGCTTGTCCTAAGAACGTCTAGAGGAAGAAGCCTGCTAGGCTGTGATCATTGTCTGTGAGAAATTACGTGTATTTAGGTAAACTGTTCTTCTGAAGTCTGAGGGATTCTTGAGCAGGAGGGGGATCTTTTTACATTTCTAAAAAGCCCCATTAGTATACCAGTTAATCAGCTAAACCTCTCCTTTGAGTATTTTTGTTGGTGTATGGCTATGACAAAATAGAGCAGATTTGTAAGCTTTAACATAATAAAAAAATCTAGTTTAATATACAATTATTGATTTTATTCCATAACCTTCTTTTGTAAAACAACTTTAGGAAAAAAAAGTAGAACTGACAATATGGCTATTGTGATCAACTCCCCATCCCTTTCAGCCGAGAGATTTCTCAAACATTAAGACATTTTCCAGGAAAGGTTCATATTCTCAGCCTGCCTGTCAGCTGCCAAAGCTCAGCTGAAGCCAATGTAGTTGTACCAACTTTCACAGGCTGAGTTGCTCATCCATCGATTCCTCCATGTGCAGAGTCGGGGATACTGGTCCGTGTCCGAGTTGAGAGATGACAGTGGCTAAATAGGCCTGGCTACACATACTCTGAAAATCCCCAGTAGAAATCTTCTTTCTTGCGTAATGGAAGATTCATCTGACAGAATAATAACTGTGCATTAAGATAGGGCAAGAGTAGAAAGGTGCTTGTGGAAGAGACATCTTCGTTTTTGACGAAATAATAGGGAAGAAGTGTTGATGCTGTTAGCCACTGGACAGATCAACTTCTAATCTGAGATTCATTTTTGTTTTTCTAAAGGGAAATGTTACAACTACCCTCCCCCAGGGAACTTTAGCCTTGATGAGTGCACAGAATTTTTAATCCACAGAGCAACTGTAGTCTCCAGACAAAAAGAAAAAAAAAAAGAACTCAGAAGTGCACTTTGTATCTCCTGCCTCAAAGCGTTAAAGTGCTAAGTTTGATATATCCAGCAATTAAGCATCTTTCCTAGTCCTTTATTTTTTTAAATGAAACTTTATCTTTGGTTTCCTGTATCTTTTCTGTAATTTTATCCTTTGTTTCTTCCATCTTTTCTGTAATTTTATCCTTTGTTTCCTCCATTTTCTCTGTAATTTTATCCTTAGTTTCCTCCATCCTGTCTTGCAGATACTCCTTTACTGGTGGTGGTGTGGACATGTAGCCACTTTTACGTAGATACTTGACAGTGATGGACGTTCCTCCTAAAGTCACAGTGTATCTGGCAGGAGTTGCAATCTTAAACCAAAGAAAACACCATATGAAAAAGAAAAATCATCAAACAAAAGGCATTTTTAATATTAAGAACTTATCTAGCATCAATGTCACATACTAAAAATTCCATTTATAAGGGAATAAACCAATTTAGAGTACATTCTCCAGAAACACATACCTTTTATCTGAAGTATCCTTCTGGAAAAAATAATGCAGGCATTATGCTTTCTTAAAAAAAGAAACAAACAAAACAAACAAACAAAGGCCTCCTGCACAGCTTGTGGAAAGAGCATTAGGTGTCTCAGGATGCAGTTCAGAACAGGCAGCCTGTGCACATTAAGCCATCCAAGCAAACAGGAAATACTGACAACAGGGTATGCTTTAAACTCCAAACTTCACAAGAGCATTGGCATTTAACTTTGGGCCCAAAAATAGGAACCACGCACAGAAAACCAAAGTTGAAAGAGACCTTGAGAGGTCCCCTAAACTTAACCCAGTAAACCAGGTCCGTTACTCCAGAAAGTTTAGACTTAACCAGGTCTTTCAGAGTGTCAAAGATAAAGCCTCCAATCTTTTATTTGCAGCCTCTTCTGTTGATTCCTCGTCTTGAAGGTACACTTCAAGACTGCCAGATCTCACAGTCATAATATATATATATATTTTGCCTTTAACCACAGGGATATATCAGTTTCTTTAGGTACAGGAATAATTGGCAAAAACAATGCTTTCACTTTTTTTTTTTTTGTTTGGGAAAATAATCCCTCTAAGTAAAAGATTAAAAAAAAAAATCTCATTTCAGAAATCAATCAGATTGTCTCTCCTTCCACCACATCCTATGCTGTTCATTTTGGTGTACAGCACCTGGCATGTTTACAGTTTCCCAAGACAGACTGTGCACATGTAAAGCCAAAATGATACCCAAACCTGACTGCAATAATCAAGAATTAAGGCAGAAAGACTAAACTAAAGAATCCTTGAGGAAAAAAAAAAAAAACAACAACTGTACTTTTACCTGAAAAAAATTGAATTGTGTTTAATATTTATGTCTTTACCCCTTTTAATATGTAAGGGATATAGAGGAAAAACTTAAATATCTGATGGCAGACAACCATTTGGCAGCAAATCAAACAGTTATTTTAAAAAATACAGATGGGCTCCTTAAAGCTACTCAGAGCCATATCAACTTGCATGTCACTATTTTTACTACAAGAAGGAATGCTGAAGTATAAATTTGCAACCAAGAAAAGGAGAAAACAGCATTAATGCTTTCTGATCTAAACAAAAGAATCCTGTTCAGTTCACTAGCAAGATTTAGAGCTTATTTGCAAGCTGTTGTTATACCTACCTTATACAATGCATACGCAGTTAGTGCATTTCCACTTTGAGAATTTTTCAGGATGTTTACTACGCTGTCTGGTAAGCCAATCAATTCTAGGAATGGAACAACATTCACACCTCTATCAAAGAGAGAGAAAAAGAAAAAGGAATAGGGTAGTGATTCACATTACCATTTACATTCTTATATTAAGTTATACAAACTTTGTAATTTTATAGCAAAATGTTTTTTCATCCAAGAAATACACTTACAAACCTTTTACTCTTGGTCATACAGGAAAATTATTTTTTTCCAGCATTACCCTAGAAATGAGCCATTTACATGAACACTGTTGGGCTTAGCGACTACTAGCATAACTTATGTCCCAGCTTACCATGGAGGCAAGTAGATCCGTTTTACCTAAAAGATCTTTTCCCTTTCTTTTTAAATGTGGACTAAACTGCAGCATGCCCGGAAGTCTTCCACTATTTTTTATAAATATATAAAAAGGAATATGGCAAGGCAAAGGAAAGGACTGATATAATCTCCAAGACGTCAGGGCTCCTGCCCATCCGTTCTACCTGCTCAACACAAGGAGGCACAATCAGCCACAGGGGCTCCTAACACAGCTTCTTTCTACTTGAACACCAAGGAAACCAACAGGAACGCTGAATGATAAAGAGTCTTTCTTTATATTACAGTAGAAAGGTACATCAAGTTATAGAAGACCTGACTTGATAATATTCAGAAGTGTTTATTATCCGTGTCGATCAAGTATTTTAAGCGTTTTAGCCTTTTGTGCATGTGATAACTTCATTATCAGGAGCAACAATGGGCAGAAATTTATTAATAGCTACAAAGTAATCAGAATCTACAACTAAATGTCTATCCTCAGAACAGAAAATAAAGTAAAACCTTGTAAAATCTGAAAGACAGCATTATTCAATGTTATTAAATGACTATGGTTTAATCTCATATTGTTATTAGTTATTCTGAAAGTTATGTTTTATGTCAAGAGGTGCTGCTCCTCTAGCATGACAAATTGAAGCTTTGTTATAATTAGTTTCTAATTATATATTTCAGTTGCTTTCATTTGTCAAATGTGCATTTTAGCAGCTAACTGAAGTATTTCAAGAATAAACTACTCAGTCTGAAATGTCTGGATACAAGCATAAACTTGGATTCACCTAAAGCAAAATATTTTAATAGCTCGAGACCTTTATTCCTCTGATATGAGCTAAATTTAGAATGACATTTGGATCTATAGCTCCTAGAAAGGGCAATTATGCCAGCTGGTTAGAGTAACTAAAACAAACACTTGTGTGGTAAGGCATTCTGATGTCAAAGCCCCACACTTGCCACTAAACACTGCCATTGTTTCATGCTTTCTATTATTAAATATACAACACCCACACCCCAGAGGTAAATATTTACTTAGATTTTGCAAACCATTTGCAGATGGATAAAACCTCTTTTATCTGAACTAACAGCTCATAGCTGATGCAGTTGCTTTTTTTCCTAATAAATGCCATTTTTCTAAAGAACATCTGGCATACACTAGAGCTGAACTGAAAAAACCCCTAAGATTAGACCTATTCAATTTATATGTGCTTTTTTTTCTCCCAAATATTTAGTTTTCAATTCAAAAGTGTGGCCTACAGTAGTAACTTCTTCAGTGGCATAACAGGAAAGACAGGAAAGAGAAGTAAAAATAAAAACCCTACATGGATAATGAAAAGCTCAGAGTGAGGTGCATGATTTGAAAGAACAGTGATGGGGGCACCCTGAGGTCAGAGGGGAGGAAGTGGAGATACTTTTCACCAAAGGCAAAGGAAGAACACATGGATCTTGCTCTACACAGATCTCACCTAGCAATTAATAATCATGAGTGGACGCCACTCCCCTTACCTCGTGAAGGGTTACTAATTAGTTCCATACTGTTTACATCTATGTCTATTTCGGGGAGATTTGCATTCCTTCTAATGTTAACTAAGTATTTAGCAATAACTGCATGTTAATAGCACTTGCACAACACTCACGGATACCACAGAACCACAGAATGGTTGAGGTTAGAAAGGACCTCTGGAGATCATCTAGTCACATTCATGATATTTTGAATATCAATCTTGGCCTTTAACGAAAAATGTAGCCTCCTTTCCCTATTACATACAGAGACAGTTTCTGACATGTAATGGTGATTTATAATACAGAATTTTTCTTTTTTTCCGTGAAAGTGAGTCTCAATGTACCAATAGCATTAGGCACTGCAAAATCAACTTACTTCATGGCTGCATAGTAAAAGGATCCAAACCATACAGTGGAGGTCAAAAGATGCACTGGAATCATGACTTTTCCATATTGTTTAAAAGTTTTCTTGAATCGCTGAAAAAGACTAATTGATTTGTCTTGTAACGGATCAGGGTCTGAAGAAACTGATTCTGCAGGGCTCTGCTGGGATTTATCATCAGCTGAAGTCAAAGCATTTCTATCTTCTGGTACTTTGTGAGGAGTGTTTGCTGGCTGGGATGAAAACACACGTTTCTTTGAGGCAAACAGTGCTGCACCTGCATGGTGACATCGTTTAGGAGGGCTCAGTGCCAAAATTGCTTTGCATCCAACATTAGATGAGACTGATTGTTCTTTTAAGCACTGCAGGATATTAGTGGGAGAAAAAAACAAACATGTCCCATGAGCCAGCTGAGATGCAGTCTGTAATATGCTCCTTTGCATTTTGATGAAGTGTGGCTGAGGTTCCTATAGAAAGGAAACAAGAGGGACAGAGTGAACAAATTGCATTTCAACAATCTTATTTGTAATTGCTCCAGTACTACTTGAAAAATATCCTCAAATTTTAAATTGCTTTCTATTTCAGGACAAGCAGCACTAATTCTTCTATTTTAAAAGGCCTTCCTTATCTTGCTTTACAGAAATTCTCAGTTTGTTTTGGGATTAATCAAATCATTTCAGTCCTTACTTCTTTAGCATTCCTAGTTAAAACGGCACCTTTACTTAACATACACTGCCCTTCACAGTTAAAATGCCCATTCTGGTCCTCTAAAACCATGCTGAGATGCTCAGTGTTAAGTATTACTTACATCTGCTTAATCTGACCCAGTTGTTGCAAAGTTACCCTTAAAACTTCACTTTTAGTAGCAACTGAGAATTCAAGTGAAACTTTCAGCATAAGTAAATTTAACATGGCCCCACTAAATTGTTCTAATAATTATGTGATGCTCTTGAAGAGAGACTAGTATCTATAATTTAAACTAAAATTTGTGTCAATATATTCTTAGACGCAGTATCCTTTTTAATATTCTAGCCTATTCCAATTCCTATTCCTATTTCAAATTGAAAAAACAAAAACCTCACACAGTAAAACCAATGGAGTAAAACCAACAGTTAGAAACGTAACAACAGCCTGCTAGTACCCATCTGTAAAGAATGGGGATGGTGCTGTTGCATGTCAAGTATTAACAAGAGCAAATTTACACTGCAATCTCAGGAGTATAACAATGAAATGAGTATTTTAAAATTGTGGGGAACCTTGTTAGCTTTCTAATTTTGCATACCTAACAGTTATTTCTGAAAGTTCAAATGAGCCATAATCCCTACAAAATACTTTGAGCATGTATAGGCAGCAACAAGTCATCTTCTTCCAGCGATTAGCAAACTATGAACTAATGAACACAATACTCTCTCTCTGTTCATTTCTATAATGACCACAAGTTACTGCACTTCCTTCGCCCAGAAAAGCACCACTGACCGATTTTGTTTAACAAGTACCAGCTAAGTTAGTTTTAACTTTCAAGTCTTTTGGATGTTATTAGATATTTTATTACCGTAACAATTCTTAACCCAAACTAGAAACCATTTAAACTTGAATTAAATTCCACTATCATCTTTGTTGGGTTTCCCTTCACCAAAAGCCTTGGCTATATGTCAGTCAGGTGTTCCGATAGCAAATTTGTCTAGACTGCCAAAACAGATATATGCTTCATAATGTATTTTTTTTTAAATAAAGTCATACATACCCTTTATTACTTTACAGATGCTTTACAAAAAAAATACAAGTTTTTGATGTTTGAAAACTTTTTCTTCTGCTGCTATTTCCCACCTTTCAAATATATTTCTTGAACATACTGAAGACTCTGCCAAAGCAGGAAAAAAAGGCACATTTAGAGAAACAGAAGCAGAGAGAATAGCAAACTAGTATGGTGAAGATTTCTGGTCAGCCTGAAACCTTTCTTCCTGGCAAGAAGAAACCAAGCAGCTATATCCAAGTTCTCCCACTGTTTGCATTTCTCAGAGTACCACTATTGAGTTTTGCTGTCCAGCCATTAGTTTGATAGCACAAAGGTAATATGGTACCAAGCCTCTGTTTAGCTGTCTCTGCTGCAAAATATTAAGATATGAAATTGCTTCCAAAACTCCAAAAATAAATATAAAAGAATTCCTCTAAATAAGCAGCAGGTAGACATTACTTCGGTTCAATACTGACTACTCACTAGCCAGTAGCTAACAAAGTGGCCACTGGAAAGGGAGTTTCAAGGCCTTTGCTCACAGAACTAAGTACAGTAAATCAGGAAATTCAACAGTCATATGATGGCTTTGAAATACAGACATTACCAGTGTTACTGTAAGACTTCTCGTGCCACTTTTGTTTGTCCTTTCTCAGAAGATGGACTTGAAACTCACCAACTAAAGCCTTTCTCTGTGATGTACCTGACCGGCCAAAAAGAAGGGACTAACTGTTGGGGATAAACCCTGAACCTTAGAAGCATAGATGGCAGTATGATTCTAGCTATGACTAAGAGCATCAGCTTATCTTTTATTTCTCTGCTTTAGTCTTTCGCTAGATAGTCGATATATAAGAAAAGGTTAAAATGTGAGTCAAAAGTGATAATGCTTGCATTTGGAAGAATAAAAAAACATTTTTTTTATAGCAAGACTATACATTTCCAAGAAATGCTAATGTATTGTGTAGGTTCTTGCTTTATTTTGCACATCATAATGATGAAAGGGGAGACTTTTGAAATATCAGCAAGTACCAGCCACTATTTAATAGGAATACATACTTAGAGGACAGTGTTAAAATGATGACAGCGCAGGCAAGGCAAATGAGCGAAGTTAATGTAGCATGTACTTTGTAAATTGATTTTATTAGAAATAAATATTAAGAGGAGATGTGAGCACGTTCAATTGTAACTTTTAAAATTACTTGGTTCAACACTACAAGAAACTTTTTAATAGAGCAGACAACTCAAAGTTCACAACATGTCTGTAGTTCAGAAGAAAGATGAAACTGTACTTGTTTCATCCTTTCAAAACATGAGATTACAGCAGCAATCTGTCCTTTAAATTTGGATTAGTGAAAGGAAGTTCTTAATATGCTGTGCTCTCCACATGCAGCACAAGAAATTCTGTAAATCAATGGGTTTGTTGCCTAATTTTATTCACTAAGTACAATACTTTCTCCAGCAAGTTATCAGAGGAATACAAGTTATATGATTACCTACGTAACTTGCAATTGCTAAAAAACCCTCAGATCTAAGAAAGTCAGGACAGTAAACTAAATGTTATATGCAATTGCACCCAGTCACTTTTAAAAAGTTATTTCTTAAATATTCTAGGGCAATTCAACTTTTTTCTGCTCTTACTTGATGCTGCAGATGCAGCTAAAGGAAAGAAACTAGAAACGTAAAATTATACAGTGGAAAAACTGGTAGTTTGTGGCACGAGAGTATTTTCAAGGTGGGGAAAATTTTGTTTTAAAGTGTCCTCAGTTTCTCTTTTAGGTTTATTTTTAAAATGCTACAAGAAAAAAGAAAAAAAAAACACACACACACACAGAAGTCTAAGATCATGTATAGGTGTTTTCTGCTCGTGTGGTCAGTAGTTCTAGGACAAAATATGAAACAATGAGTAATGCTTCTGGGGTAAGATTTCTTCAGTGTTGTTGTATTCTGGCCAATTATTTAGCAGAAACTCCAGCCGTCTGTAAATCAAGCTGAAAAGGTCTTTGCTGTTCAGGGCATGCTCCTTGTTGGGATTCTCACACATCCATTTAGTTTCTGAAGACATTGCTGTCTCCTGACAAGTTATTAACAAGACCTCCAACAAAGGAAGTGCTCTAGCCACCTCTTAACAAAAGCAGAATTCAACTTCTCATTACAATGACAGAGGTTTTGTTTACAGAACTTTTGTACTTTTATTTTAACTTAGGTCATCTTTGGCATAAAACTGATGAACTCCAGGAATATCTCATCTCTTGCATTTGCTGTGCTACATTTTTGCATTCCAGTGCTACTAGGAAGAGGAGATTAGACTTGCTTTTCCTCCTGAGGACAACAGAAGGTCAGCATGCCACAGGGTAGGCTTGGATGATAATCACTAACTGATTGTTTTGGATATGTGTGAACAATTCAAGCAAAAAGAAACACAAGATCATAGTATGTGGTGCCAAGCCAAGCCAATATAAGTGGAAAAGAGTTTGACTTTGCACAGTCCGTCTGCTGTAGGAAAGAGAAGTCATGACAGAGATGCAGTCAGAGGAAGCTTTCTCAGGCTTATTTAAAAACAATCATCCTGTTACAACAAATTTTGAGCTACAAAAGAGAAAAAAAATAGACAATGGGGGTAGATTTAAAATGGCAAAAATTCGAGCACAAGTTCTTTTGAAAAAAGAGGTCAGTAACTATTAAAAATCATCTGAGGGAATTAAGGATAGAGTATATGTAAACTATACTGGCTTATTTCTCATCTTAGCTGTACCAGAATCACTCTGGACACACTACGTAAATATGGATGGTTTTAAAACAGATTCATTTGTTCTGCTACTATTCGAAAAGAAAATATTAATTATACCACAAGAGAGTTCCCACTCAAAGTCTATAAGCCTTTTCCACTCCCAAGGCACCATTCTATGAAGTCAGAAAATTAATCTACATTCTTGTCATTTTATAGTGTAAAATCAAGTAAACTGAGGCTTAGGTTTGGTATATACAATTTTGAAAGGACACGATCCACATTTGGTTAAGATTTCATCCTTAAATTTGTTCCTTTCAAGAACTTACTAACAGTGTAGTCATAAAAATTGCCAGATATTAAGCTAATAAGAGAGACAGACATAACTGAATGGAAAAAGATGTGCATTGCAGAAGAGCTGAGAACACATTTTAAAAGCATTTTATCAGTAATGCAATAGATGCAAAGCATCGAAGTTTTTTGAAATTCAGTATGAAATATGACTATATATCTCCTAGTAACTGAAATGTTCCAGCATAGCATGCAGTCTCTTCCTATGGATGGGAAAGGATGGTGAACTTCTATGCACAGTAAGTTTGCCCTTATTCTCCATATCAATACATCAACAGTATCTGAATGAACACGGAGAACTGACATATTGACCATAGTTACACCTGCAATGTCCCTGGAACAATCTGTTATTTATTCTAAACTATGAAATTGGTTTAGAATTTGAAGTTTTGGTATCACTATCTGTCTAATCTTGCTAACCAATCAGGGCAATCCCCCAGATTATTTATTTTGCATTACTGCCTTTACCCTAAAATGTAGGATCATAATGGCAAACTTATTAAAATCTTTGCCAAAATCATATCAAAACTATCCAAGGATTTTACCTCTTGCAGACAGATTACCATAAAAGCATTAACCGAATTCCATCATGTCTAAACTATACAATAGCTTCACTTCATAAGTACTATATTATTAATTTCTAAAATTACAGTGCAATACTGATACAAGAACAGAAGTGATAACCCCC